CCCCACCAAATGCCCCACCAACACGACTCACCTTGCAGGCAGACCTTCTCGAAGTAGTTGACCCGGGCCGGGGCCGGCTTGAGCTCGTCCCGCTGCCCCTCGGAGTTCATGTCCAGTTTGAAGCAGGCCTCCTGGTCGTAGTTGACCAGGAACGCGGGGCAGTTGTTCGACGATCGACACCTACGGGGAAACGGATAAAACGCTCTCGCTAATATATATTATTCACTGTGGATTTAAAACCTAAAATTTAAAATATTAACAAAATGAAAATAAATGTAAAAATCGAATTATAAAAAACGTAATTATTCGTAATTCGTGATATTTCTCGCCGTGATGGCAGAAAAACGGATTGGAATAAAAAAAAAAAAGTCGCAAAGCAACGGCAAACACAGATGCCGCCGGCACGCGAGACTCCTTCGTGCCACCATCGTGCCAGATGGCCAAAAACAGGCAACGGTCTGGCCATAAAGAATTTTTCATGATTCAGGCGTTTTCATCCTCGGGTTCCTCCTGACCCATTGGCGGCAAAGCGTGCGCTGTCCAGCACGCAGTTGAGCATGAGCTGCTGTGCATGAGCTTTGAGCATGAGCTGTTGAGCATGGGTTGTTGAGCATGCAGAGGGAACCTGAAAGTGCCTCGTACATTACCCCTCTCCCCTCAAAAAAAGATGCTCCAAGCATCGGTCGAAAATTACGAATTGGCCAAAAAAAAAATATTTTCATGAAAATTCCATGAAAATTCAATAAAAATTCAATGAAAATTCACCTGTTGTTGCACTCGGCGGTGACCGTGTTGCCGGTGCTGCTGTAGAGCGGGATGGGGGTCGCGGCTTCCAGGATCATGTTCGACACCTTCTCGAACGTCTCCGTCCCGTCACAGTCGCCTGGACGCGAATTCAAGAAACGTTTCAAACATTTGGAAACTCCGCTCAGACTCCAAAAAAAAAAAAATTCCACTTAACTTTTTGGGATTCATTCCACGTGATAAAACTTTTATTTCTATAAATATATTTCATGAAGGGCATATTGATAAAAAAAAAGATTAAAATGTGATACTTGCCTCTAATTGAATCAATTAAAACTGAAGCTGCTCCGTGAGAAGTTAAATTTAAATGTAAATAATTTATTTGTGCAATATATATGTAAAATATATGTAATACACATATATACCTGCGGATCTGGCGACGAGTCCCATGACTAGAAGGAGGGAAAGATGAAGATGAAGATGAGATTTCCTCCTTCCTCGATACCGGAAGAAAGACGACGGGGACACCTAAAAAAAAAGGGAAGAAATAAGATTCATGGCTGAAAAAAAAAACGATACGCTCGTTTCCCGCAGACAAAGATATCCATCGGGCAGCTGGGAGTCGCCATTTCTCAGAAAGGAAAAATTTCTTTGTCGCTCTTTTGTCGCTCTTTTGTCGCAGTGTGGCGATTATTTTCTTTTTGCGACAGGTGGTATGGTATGAAAGAATTTCTGGTATGAAAAATTCCAAACTCGGGTGATCTCAGATGAAACCGGGTCGGGGGGAATCCCGTTAAGCCTAGGGAACCGCGACAGGGTTCACAAGGAAGAGGGTTCACATGAGGGTTCACAAGGAAGAGGGTTCCCCCAACTTTTTCGGGGATAATTGCTCAATAAACGCCGGCGATGAATTCACACGGTTTCACGCCGACCGTTGAAATTCCGCGAAACCGTTCTGAGATGGAAAGGGTGCGCCGAGGGTGCAACGAGGGTAATCCCGGGATAATCCTGGATAATCCCGGGTAATCCCGGGGGTAATCGAGCTGATTATGCTTCCGTGAGGGTGAGTCATTAATCGAAACCGAGAACCCCCATGGTGACCGGCGGCGTAACCGACAGCGTAACCGTCAGCGTGACCGGAGGCATAACCGAAGGCGTGACCGAGGTTCACAATTTTTTATCACTAATCTCTTCTCGTTTCCCAAAATATGGTGCAACAAAAAAATAAATGGAAAAAGAAGTGAGAAGGAAATCCATTCAAATCTGAGAGTGAAAGCCGATCGCCATGTTTGATGTCTGACAATCGTGTTTGATGTTTGACATCGTCATGTTTGATGTCTGACTACGCAGTCGAGCGAAGAGCCTTTTATTATTATTTCATTTATTTCTTATCGTTATCAATAGGAGCCTGGGAGGCCGTGGACCCGCGTGGACTCGAGGCCGCGCAGACCCGCTATGTTTTTCCCAGGCGTTTCCCGATTTTTCCATTTTTCCCCCCAATTTTTTTTTTCGTCCATTTCCCCCGCTTTTTCCTTTCCCGTCATGGTCAAGAACCCCAACAGCGTTTCGCAAAGGTTTAAAATTCCTCTTGATATGTATCACATTCCAGAATTTTATACTATTATAACATTCCTAATTTGGTATGAATAAAAAATATATACATATACAGAATATATATATTATAAATCGGAATTCCCCCGCGCGAAGATGAGTCTCCACTTCCGACGATTCGATCCGCTTTCCCTTCGTGGCCGGGGGAGAAGGCGGGAGAGAAGGCGGGGGAGAAGGCGGACGAGCCGCACAAAAGCGGCTCCCGATCCCGTGAAATCGATTCGCACAGGCATCGACCTCTCGAAAATCACTTTTCCCCTCCAGATAGGCTTCTTAAACGTCCGGAAATCCCCTTGAAAGGGAAATTCGTTCCCTCTTCATTAGGCGTTGAACTCACTTCC